ATTTTCATTCTATTTTCTGAGCGGTCTGATACTCTACCACTTAAAAGCTCTGCCTCCAAGTAGGTAAAGTTAGAAAGTCCCCAGGCTTTCATTCAATTCCCAGATGGAAGTTTTTATAGAGATGAACATTTTCTCATTAATTTATCTTCTTAAGTGATTGCTATCACACTAATCAATTTGTAGTGACTTTATCAGGGTTGCAACCTTCAAGAATGAAATCAGATATGGTATTGAACATTGTGGAGATTGCTTAACCAATTCCAATTCCTCTCAGATCAATGAAACACAATAATGAAATGAAGTCAAGTGTTGCTTCATTAGTTGCCCTGCTTAGAGGGGGTGAGTAATTTTGTTCAACTGGACACTGATCTCTCTCCAATGGATAAAACAGAAGGAGACACCGGATGAAATAGAAGCAGCTGTGATCTACAGGGAAGTTCACAGACAGGTCTGCAGGGAAGCATGAGGGTGGTGTGGTCTATATGCAATGATCTGGTGCATCAGAAAACACCAATAAACTGCAGATGCCTGCACAGAGCATGGGAAGTCAATACACGTGTGTCCCCATGAGTGTCAAGAGAGGTCGGGATTCCCTAGGTTTGGCAAGCTCTACTTGTTGCCTAATCAATCGCTATTTCTCCTCCTGCCTCACACAGAACACCAACTTTGTACAGCTGGCAATTATCCCTGTGCTTAGGGGAGAGGAGCCCTACAGAATAAGCTGCCAGCTTCTAACCTTGTTCTTTACCTTTTTGATGCAATGCATCTATTTTCACCTTTTTATTACAGTTCAAAGTGACTAACTGGGTCTCCCTGGTGGTGCAAGGGGTTAAGTCTCAGCACTATGAAGCTACAGGCAGCCAGGGAGCTGACCCACATGGCGCAGCAGACCTCTCCTGTCTCACTCGCTGTTCCCCTCAGCAGTGTATTTCAGTCAGAGCCTGTTCTGCTTCCCACCCTGTCTCTCATGAATCCTCTCACCCCCCACACCTCTGGCCTATACCCCATTCTCAGTATCATACTACTGGGAAATATTAAGATTCTGCATTCTGAGTCACTTCTACTATCTTTCAACAACCAAAGCAAGACACAGCCCCACGCAGACAAAACAAAGCAAACAAAGCAAACAAACAAACAAAAAAACCTTACTCTTCTTTAAGTTAGATACTGGCCATTTGATCTTCATAAAATGACAATTATCTCTTAAAACTGATTTAGATAACTTCACTTATATAAAGTTATAAGAAATGTCAAGTAATATATAATAGGGAGAGCAGGTAGTAGTTGCTTGGGGACAAGGGTGCAGAGGGAGGTTGGATGCATCAGGATGGGGGTAGGGCATGAGAAACTCAGGGTTGATGGGTATATTCTTTATCAATGTTACTATTGACTGAAGTGATGGTTCCACATGTATATAGATAGGTAAAAACCTTTCAAATTTCACATTTTAACTTTGTGTAGTTTATCTATGCTAACTATACTTCAAAATTAGATTTTAAACTTTTAAATGTTATTTAGATATAGAACATTTACTGTCACTGTGTAATATGCGTGAGTGTAGGGAGTGAGGTACAGAATGGTATTGCACTTGGCAGTATAGTTTCTATAGTTTCGTTAGAAAAAATATACTTATGGGGCCTCCCCGGTGGCGCAACAGTTGAGCCCTGGGCTGCCAAGATGCCCACAGCCTCTGCAGCGCCAGTTCGATCTCCGGCCTCTGGAGATCCCACATGATACACAAAACCTCTCCTGCCATGCCCGCTGCTCCCCTCAGCAGTGCATTTCATCCATTTGCTTGTTCTCTTCCCTGCTCTGGCTCTGGTGAATTCTCTCACCCTCCCACGCTTCTGACTGTACCCAGTGCTTGTATAAATAAATAAATAAATCTTAAAAAAAAAAAAAGAAAAAATATACTTATGGAAAATGCCTGAAAAAATAACATTAAATTGTTAATAGTGGTTCCCCAGTAGGATAGATTTAAGGGATACTTTCATTTTTTAAATGATTCATTATTAAATTTTACACGTCTAGTGAACATATATTATGTATTAGACATAGCAATATGGTTGGGGAATATAAAATTTGATCATTGCTGGTTCTTCTTCCAAGTTTGTATATATATATTTTAAAGGTTTATTTATTTATTTATTTATACAAGCACTGGGTATAATCAGAAGCACGGGAGGGTGAGAGAATTCACCAGAGCCAAAGCAGGGAGCAGAACAGGCAGACTGACAAAGTACACTGCTGAGGGGAGCAGCAGACGTGGCAGGAGAGGTCTGAGCACCATATGGGACCCTCACCAGCGGCTGGGGATTGAACCGGTGCTGCAGAGGCTGCGGCAGCTTCGCAGCCCAGCACTCAACCACTGCACCACCAGGGAGGCCCCAAGTTTATATTTTTAAGCAAAAAAGAATGTTAAAAGTTGAAGTGGGGAGGGGAAACCAGCGTAATGTTTTATATGTGGCTGTGGTGCTGAACTTTCTAAAACTGCAATAATTGAAATGACACCAGGGTAGCCAGAAGCCATCCAGGACATATACATGGTGGAGAATTGATAAGCCTTGGTGAGGAGTCTTGATTTTATTCCAGTGGAATAAAATCAGTGGAAGTCAATAGAGAATCCTTGGCAAAGGGGTGGAGATACTTGACATTTTGAAAGGACTACTGGGCTGCAATTTGATTATAAGGCGTAATGAAGGGCCACAGAAAGAGGGGTCCATTGCAATGTGTCATTGAGGGTAGGTGGAGGCTTGAACTAGAGGAGGCACAAGTTTGGACAAGTGGATGGACTTGGCACATGTTTTCAGGTAAAGCTCCATGACCACTGAAAGACTTTAGTATGTATGCATGATTGGGCATCGGTTTTCCCTGAGTTCAATATTTGTTTTGTTATCAAAACAAGGCTAAAAAGCTTTATTTTTTCCTATTTAATCTTTGAAAGGAAAAAATCTTAAGAACAATGGAAAACAGTGAATTCTAATACTTTATTGTCCTTAAGTGATTTAAAAACATTGAATTTAACAAACTGATCTTTCAAAGTTAATTTTCTTGAAATTATCACTGCTTTTCAGCTTCCAATCATGTGTGTCTTGGGGGTGTGGGTTAAAATAACCATCAGTTTTCAGCTAGAAAGACTGATATCGTTGCTAAAAATTTGATTCCTGCATATAAGCTTATGAGGTTTACTAAGTACCCTTTCCAAGTCTTCTAAGAACACATTCCTCAGTTCCTCTATATGACTCTCATTCTAAACCAAGGAAACTTATTTCAGGATATTTTCCTTAATACATAACAACTGTTCAACAGATGATCTTAACATCTGTCCTCTTGTCCCCTGTGTCACGTGTAATCTAATCAGAACATTCCTACATTTATGGAAATGTCAATACAGGTTAGAGGACTAGAAAACTATGACCTACAACCTACTTTTTTGATCTGTGAGATAGAAATTGTTTTCAAGCTTTTGAACAGTTGAAAAAGAAAAGAAAAACCTGAAAGATGCACTATTTGGCCAACACCACTAGAAGGAAATGAGCAATGCAACATAGTGACAAACTTGTTCATGAAAGAAAAAAAAAAAATCATTTTCACCCAACCAGTAATTCAAACCAATGATTTAACTAACCAATTTACCAGATTAAAATAAGTAAATACAGATGAAGAGCAAAGGATGTAACAAGTGTTTCTTAAAGGCTTGAAATTGACCATCTCCTTTCAGTCCAAGTGTGACCCGAGCTACCCTTCATTAAAGTTTTATCCCATTTTCATTTTAGGATAGCACTTACTAAAAGATAATGGATATATGTACAATCTTCTTGTCACTTTAAGGGCCCAAGCCTGTGGGCTGTGAATTCCAGTTAAAGATTTAAACATTGTGTGGCTGAACTCATCTGCTGTGTCTTCTTCCCATGGTATGAGGCACAAAAGAAAGCATGTTTATTGTAAATTCAGTACCTACCCCCAGTTTAATATAACTCAGTCAGTTAGATAGCATTCAGATAAAATTATCCACTGCACCATGTAGCTGGATTTCATTAATTATGCTAATCAATATACATAATGCAAATGATGCCTTGGGGAACTTTCATGTTACCCTTTTGCTTACAGGTAGATACAAATCAATTCAGGCAGAGATATCCTTGTCAGCCAGCAGTTCTTGCCAGCCCCTATCCCCAAATAAAGATGAAAAAAACAAACAAAAAAACCTCCCAAACTACTCAAGCAAAAAAGACCTGCAGCAATATTGGTTAATATTAGGAATTAATTCTACCATGACAAAAAAAAAAAAAAAAAGAAAGAGAAAAAGCTCTGATTCACACAACAACCTTCAGAATTGTTATTTCTGAGTTGAAATCACTGCTACTTCATAAGTCTGCAGGTTTGGATATACTTCTCCCAGCCTTAATTTAATCTGTAAAATTAATTTAATTTAATCTGTATAATTCATTCTCTGTCCTCCTCCCTCCTTCCTACCTCTCTCCTTCTCTCTCTCTCTGTCTCTCTCACACACACACACACACACACACACACACACACAAATACACACTGAACAAATCTGTGACAGCCAAGTCAATGGAACACAGCACAGGCTCCAGAGTGATTATTTAAATTCCATGTTATAGCATAGTTATTGTTTTGTAGCACTTTACTACTGTATTTCCAAAGATGGCTTTCAAACACTTGACAGCTAAACCCTATAGCAATATTTCCTTGCATTTGGATAGTATTTAAAGCACTTCACATTAATCATCTTGGCTTATTGGAAGCATAGTAGAAAGCTGGTTAAAATTACTATCCCCTGTTGGCAGGCATATAAAGGGGTCTCACCTGCTTACTGCTCCACAGCAATTACACGCAGACCTCAGATGTGCAGGCATCTCCCCACCTGCATTACCAGTCTCCCCCAAACTTCTGAATTTAACTGATGACAAGATAAATTTTGCCCAGATTTAGATTCCCAAGAAACAACAATTTCTCCCCTCCCAGAAGAGACTTACTGGTCGGGACCGTATTTCTTTGGCGTAGAGAGGTTGTAAGAATTCTGAGTCTCCTTCCAGCCTGAGACCTTTTTCTGTGATTCTCAAGTTTCCCATTCCATCCTGAAACAGAGGCACAGAGACAGCAAGAGAAATGTGATTAGTCAAAATTTCAAAATACCTCCGGCCTTCAAAAAATTGAAACAAAGTTATTGCTTTTTTTTTTTTTTAAGGGTGGAATGAGCAGGCAGGAGGTGGTGGGAGGGTGTCCCAAGGAATACACAAAATACCAGGAGGCATTGTTCAATGAAATTATGCATATTACCCTTTTTGCTCACTTATTCTGAGAAAATTCTATTCCAAGCAATCTGTAATGCCTCCCAGTTATTCACTTATACAGAGGAAGGAGGATTTTTTGATTCGCTGTGCAGAATGAAGGCAGGAGGTGAGTGGGAAGAGAGAAAATGCTATTTCCCAGCTTAAAGTATCAGGTCCTGTTTCTAAAACTCCATGCAGCAATTACAAACTGGCAGTCTGGTGATCAAATTCATCTTTTAGACATGGTGCATTTGGCTCACAAATCATTTAAGATGCAAATTAGTTACTAACATTTTTACTATTCTTTTATTATGGAAGTATTCAAAGATATTTTAAAAAGTAGAATAAATACAAAACAAACATCTATGTACCTATGTAATAATCTGTAACATCCACCGCTCCCTCTTTTGTTGAAGTATAACTATATAACATTACCACCCACAAACCAATTCCCTTAATCTCATGAAAACTCAGTATTAATGCTCAAATTTCATTTACATTTGTTTTCTTTTTGCATTTGCCAATTTGAATCAAGTTTCCTACAGCCATAAAATAGGAGGTCATCTCCTAAAATCTGCAAAATACCAGATGGTTTCACGCATGTGGAATAAAGCAAAAAAAAAACAAAAAAAAACACACAACAACAAAGAAAAAGGAACAGACAAAACTAAATCAAAACAAACCCTTTGAAATCTGACAGCAGAATTGAGTCTCCTAGGGTGAGGAGGAAAGTGGGGAGGTGGCCCAATTTATTACAAGGGAGGGCAGTTGAGTGTCTCGGTGGTGGGTGTGGTATAAATACATCTGAGATGGAATTGTTAGGGGGAAAAGGATGTCCTAAAGCTAATTCCATACAGGCTTCATGGACTCCACCCCCACCCCAGGCCAAAGCCAAAGACACTGGGAACTCCAAATCCCATCACCACCAAAGGGAAGGTGGCTGGGACCTGAGGGTGGGGTTAAGCAGCCAGGTGGATATAAAAGGCAGACACGTGGGCTTTGGGGTCCCCCATTTTGGCTCTCCGCCAGCCGCAGCGTCCGGCCAGCTCTGAGAGTGACTTTGGGTTTCCAGGTTGGCGGATCGGGTAGGACGCATTAAAGACTTTATTTCCCTATTTTCTCCCTGAGTTGTACATTTTCCTTATTTCCTTTTCCCTTGTAATAAACCTTTTATTAACCTTTTGTGTGTGCCTGTAGTGGAGTATTCATAAGTCCCTTTTAAGCGCGCGGGTGAGGACCCACAGCCAGGAACCCGTTCAATATCGGGGCTGTCCTATAACAGTATCAACCTACACTCTTAAATCATATACAGTGTTGTCCAATAATAAATACAGTTTTAAAAACTGAATAATAATTTCTTTTTTTTTTTTCTTTCTTCTTTTGGGGGGAGGGGCAACCTCCGACCTACTTCCAGAATGAAAAAAAAAAGGAAAAAAAACCTGAATAATTTGAATGAAAAATCCAAGTTTTCAGCTTCTTGTAAAAGTGGAACCCTTGGCATGTCTGAGCTACCTTCTCACTGGGCCCCCACTGGCTGAGACAGGAGGCAGGTACCTGCCTGAATCACCTGCTTCCTGATTGTCCACAGCCGCCCCCTGCTTATTTCAGGAAGCTGGTGTGCTCAGGCTCTGAAGGCTCCACATGAATCTACAGTCTGTTTTTGGCACTGCCACGCACAATGGACCTTGGCACTGTGAGGGCAGACATCGGTGGGGGCTGTGGGTGTCTGATGGCCCTTTCGTGGCCCTCCTGCACAGCAGCCTCCAGCCTGAAGATGAGAGCAGCTCTCTGAGGCCACTGTTCTTCCTGCAAGGATAGCACACCATCTGTGCATTTCTATTTTGGGTACTTGTTCTGCCAAGGGAACCCCAGATGGGACACTGAAACTCCAGTGTGAGAGGCACCGGGCTGAAGGACACTCCTATCTCACAAGAGCAGCAGGAGACTCCATAACAAAGGGGAAAAAAGCAAAAACCTACCTCCCAAAGAAATGCCAATGATCTCATTTTGCATTATTTGGCATCATTTTTTTTTTTTTTTCTTTCAAGGAAGAAGCAGCAAACCTTTTCACATGCTGAATGGACTGGTTGGTTTGCTTATTTGTGTGATGTGTGTTTATTAAACAGCCCTCAATATTATTTTTTTATAATTTTATTTTATGAATGCATGCTTTCTCCTTTAAGTTGTAACCCCACAGAATTTCCATCACCAATACACCCGTGCACCATCACCATCATCCTTGTGTAAGAACACATTCCCTCCCCTGTTTTGATTCCTCTCCTTACCCCTCCCTTGCAGAATGTCTCTGATAAATAGCTGCCTGTTTGTTTTTTAATTTATTATAATTACTTTTTTCCTGATCCTGTATTTGGTTCCCCTACATTGCTCATATAAGTGATACAATCTGATATTTTTCTTTTTCCTTCTGGCTTATTTCACTGAGCATAATCCCTCAATATTCTTAAAGGTGTGTTCAGCATACACAGAGGTCCCCTCTCCTTAACATTTATTGACAACTATTTGCTGATTACTATACTCTGTGCTGTCCATGCTTTATCTCATTTTATTACTACTGAAAACTATCATGTTATGCTTTAAATTTAACCATAAACGAATAATCATGTATCTGTGGAACTATTCATATGGAACTGTTCATCATCATATCACTTATAAGGGAAGAATATAGAACATGAATTCAAATTAAATTTTTTATATTAAAAGGGTAATTAACATGCTAGAAATCCAACAGCATACTATGTAGCTGAGAGGTTAAGAACTAAAATTCCTAATATTCCTACATTATGATAGGTGAAATAATTAATTAAGGATACATATGTATATTTTGTGCTGTTTTAGTATAACTACCTATGCACATTCATGTATATACACACATATGCATATAACAAGCAAAGTTCTAGAAGAAAACTCCTAGGGATAAATTCTGGAAAGAAATATACTTAAATGTTCATACTGACTAGCTTTATATGATGAGAGATGGATACTTTTTATTTTCTTTTTGGTTATTAAATTCTCACTTATTTATTTTCAAAATCACCATTTTTCAAGAATCTATACTATGTCATATTCTCAGTGCTAGCCACACATTCTCTGATGTCATCTTTTAATGAGATCATCACTCTTTTCCTTAATTTATACCTGAGAAAAGTTGTTGATAAAAAACATGTTCACAGACCTCCCTGGTGGTGCAAGGGGTTAAGATGCAACACTATGAAGCTATCTGCAGCCACTAGAGCTGACCCACATGGAGCAGCAGACCTCTCCTGTCTCACCCGCTGCTCCCCTCAGCAGTGTATTTCAGTCAATCCGCCTGTTCTCCCTGCTCTGTCTCTGGTGAATCCTCTCACACACCCCCACCCCCCGCACCTCTGCCCTATACCCCAGCTCTTGTATACTTAAATAAATAAATCTTTAAAAAAAAAAAAAAAGCATGTTCACAATGACACAACTAGTTAATAACAAAACAAGAAATCCACTCCCAAGTCTTCGCCATTCAGACTTATCCAATCAAATGCGTGCAAGTGTATTCCCTTTAAGTTCTCTGCTGGATTTCTTATAGCCACACTGCCTATCATTTAGTTGGTGAGTGTACGCAGCAGCAGTGGAGGGGTCATCTCCCACCCCCACACGCAATGGACCTAATGATGTTCTCATAGTCCAATACCTTTACCCACCTTCCCTGGCCCCACTGACTCCACAGTACAACTCCCTGCCCTCCCATGCCTGGGAGCATAGGCAGAAAGACTCCTCTGCTTTCTGCAAAGGCCTGCTGTGTCCATGACCATGTCCTAGAGCCACAGGGGAGAGAATACGTGCTCCAACAGGTTAATACCACAGGGGAGCACGGCCAAAGAAGAACAGAGGGGACAATGCAAAGTAGTAACCTTCGAGGAATACACATGGAACCCAAGAGATCACTAATGGCGCGACCTTAACCATTTATCCACAAATTTGCCAAATCCCTATCATTTCTCCCACTTATGGGTTCTTCCAATTCTTATGGGTCATCATTTCATTTTTCCAGCCTCCTTCCCAGTCCCTAGTCTGCCCGAAGGTTCTTGGTAGGGAGGTTAATCATATTATGTGAATTTTGTTATTGGCCTCCATTTCCAAAATATGCAAAGCAGATTTGTGCAGCCAACTAAGTTCCACAACACACTTAGTTGGCTGCAGCACAACACACTTAGCAGTCTCAGTATGTAGCTCTAGAAGCTAGAGAGGCTGGATGGGAGACACCTGGCAATAGCTTGAGAACAGTTTCCTTTAAGCCATTTCACCTTGATATTCATAAGGAGTGGTGGGTATTATTACGATAGGCATATTTGCTTGGTTTTGTAGCAAAACTTCCCTCTTAGTAAGATGAAAAAGAGGCATTTAGAAGATTGAAAGTCATTACAAAGAAACAGACTGTTTTCTCTATAGTCAAGTGATAAAACTTTAATATTCCTAAAGGCAAGCAGGGAACATCAAGCAGCTGATAACTGGGTTTGACTGAGCCAGAAGTGGCCAGAGAATGGGCCTAATTTCATCAAGTGCACCCAAGACTGAAGGGGAGGCCGGGGTGCCACAGCTACCAAGGAAGACTGTAATACCCAAGGCCTGACCCACACCAGGCTGTTAAAAAACAAGTAACTTCTCAAAAATCCAGGAGCAAGTCCATTACTTTCCTAGCCTGATTTTGGGTATTCCCCTAGAAAGTCTCTTTGGGGAGACAGGGCCAGGGCTACAGGGACAGAGGTGAGGGAGCTGCAGAAACTCCAAAAGTAGACATTAGGTCTTTATTCTTT